GGACATCGCTTTCCACAAAAAAGCTTTTCCCGGTGGAGGAAATGTGAGGGGCTCCATATTTGCCCTTTCTAGCCCGGACGGCATCGGAGTCATCTTCAAGGTTCAATTCTCTGAGCTACCAAACATGGGAGGCCCCTTTAGTGAGTCGAGCCCTCAGTCCATTATGTTCCATACTGATAGGCACTAGTATACCATATTCATGACGCGCCGGTCCCAGAGGATGGCAATTGCACCGCAACCTTGGCCCACCTCGACCCGTTCAAGCGCGGCGAGATGATCCCCTGTGACCCATCTGCCCCGCAGACCTGCCAGGTTGGCGATTTGTCTGGGAAGCATGGCCACATCACGTCCGAATCTTTCGACGCTACTTATACTGACAACTATGCTGCCCTCGAGGAGGGTATCGGCTCTTACTTTGGAAACCGAAGTTTCGTCCTGCACTTCGAAAATAAGACCCGCATCACCTGCGCTAATTTTGAACGTGTCGACCCCGGTGGCTACTCTGCTAAAGGAGCGAACTCGCCAGCTCTATATATTCCCGCATGCGTGCCGAGGACGACTTCTGATACTGAGAGTGACCCCGGAAATCAGTCCACTCAGAAGGGCGCCAGTCCTTCAGCGGGCATGTCCCCTGGCCCGACGATCTTCAAAGCCAATGAGTCCACCTTGATGCTTGAGGCCGGGCGAGCGGCGTGTGCGGCCATGTCCTGATGGGTGTCGGGTGGGCAGAATTTACATGCACAACTAGCGACCCACGAAACTACAATACATCGATGGAAACACAGCTAACCGAGCATAACCATTTTCTGGCACACCTCATGTACGCTTTTCTAAGCTGTAGGTATCCTGGATACACTGAGGCTGGCTGAGTCAGCAGCACCCAGTACTGGACATATTGATCATAGGCAAGATCCGCAAGTCATGAGTCTAAGTAATGATCGTGAAGAGATGCAAATCTGTTGTTCAATTCCCTAACAAGAACCTCCCCAAAAAGACTTTCGTTCACTAGCAGCCACTATTGCGCGTGCATCAACCGTGTAACCAACTTCCTAGGAATTCTGCTTGCCAGAGATGATGGAGCCCCCCTGGATAGAAGGGGGAACGAGGCTTGAGTTCGTCGCTGCAGCTTTGGCCTTGTAAGCGGCCAGGGTATTTGCAGAGTCAAAATCTTGGTTAATTACTCCCGCCATGCCCTTCTGACAATGATTTCCGATCGTCTGCGCGCAGTAGTACCAGATCGGACTCTTGTCCTGGACGACAATCTGAAAGATATCGTCGGCTTCACCTATTTCCACAGGAATAAATCCACTGAAGAAGGGGCGTGAGATGGTTGCATCAGGAGCACAAGGATGTGCGAAGGATGATTGAGCGACGCTGTGGTTCTTTGGAAGGAAATGCCACTCAACTACATCGCCGATCTCGGCCACAACGTTGTCCGGGTCGAAGACTAGAGCGCCTCCGAGGCCCGCCACGACGGAATGCGTCACACCAGTCTTTGCCGTTGTCCTTGATGGCGACGGATCGGTAGTGGCGGAGGGGCTAGCAGAGACAACAGCCGTCG